CCTGCTTTGGCTCTTGCAGAGATCTGTACTCCCCTTCAGTTACCACAACTGCTGGTGCTCCCCACTCACCTGCACTTTCACTTACAGATTAAAGAAATAGCATCACACAGTTTACATGAAGCTTGGTATTATTTGACTGCATTTTTTTTTTCCTGATCAATGCGCTCAACTCTTGGTTTTTAAAGTTCCCTGACAACAAACACAAAAGAAAACTTGGTCTCGCCCATGTAAAGACAACTGCTGATATTTTTTTTCCCTTCTTAAAGGGAACTTTGCCAAAAGATGGGCTGGGATCATAAACCATACCCTATTCTTTGTTTAATTACTTAGCTTTTGCTCTTGACTTGGCAAAACATTAAGCTTTTCATTTTAGTAAATCTATAATTAACTCCAACATGTGCTGAGTAAACATAACCTCATTTTTAATTAAATCTTAGAAGAAGATGCTACAACTTGCCATTTCTAAGGAAAAGTATTTCTCAAGTAATGTGCAATAAAAAAAATCTAATCCTTGTCAAATATGAAACTTAAGTCCAACTTTGAGTATAACCGACCATCTTTTAAGCCATCTGTTGTCCAAATGTGCATTCACTAACTACAAGACCAAAATGTAAATCTGAAGAGCCATTACTTCACATCAAAAGTTTCCAAGGCTAAAGTCAAATCAAATCTAAATGGTAACACAGCAAAACTGAGAGATAACCTTGGCTTTGGGTCTCCTGAAGAATAATTATACCAGTACATCTCACTGGATTTTTTTTTCTTTACAAATGATGCAATAATTCTTTCACAAAGAGAAAATAAATATAATTTCTCCAGAATGAAAGGAGCTGAAATATCATATGCATTATAAACATCAGAAACAAAGGGGAACTTTCTAATTAGTCATTCATAAGGAAGAAGATTCAGAAAATTTACTTCTAGCAGCACATTCATATAGTACTAACTTTACAACTCAATTAAAATGAGATATCAATTATCTGAATAAAGAGAAAGCTCTAAAAAAATAAATTATGAAAATGTAATGTCAACTCTAAGTCAAGCTTATGCATGAACTAATGTAATAATATGAAATAACCACCATGTTTTGTTTATGCTGCAACTCTATAAGATCTCTGGCATTACATATTTCCAAATGGCCCTCAAGAATTTAGATTATTTAAGTACTACAGTTAAATAGTAGAAAACCCCACAAAACTTTACTTCATATTCCAGAATTACATATATTAGAGCCAAATAAAAGAATCAAGAAATTGTTAAAGTCAGAAGCTACAAAATTTACACTTCGCAGAACAAAAAAATGCTATGCATTTCAATGAAAAAAAGTGCTCAAGAGAACTTTATTGATATTAAATCTCATGTTCTTACTTATCTGCAACTCTTTTAATCAGCTGTCCTCTCAAAGACAGAGTCTCTCAGTTAGTGATTCTGATTACCACAGAATCTAGATACTGATGATTCTGCATTAGACAGAAGTTGGTCCACTTAACCTTATCCAATGTATATTCAAAACATGACTTCAAGAGAATTTCACAAAGCATTTTCTTCCAGGCATTTTATATTATATTTCAATTTCAATGTGCTTCTTCTGGACAAATTTTTCCCCTTTGCTTCTCATCAAGTTCAGCTTAGTCATCTTTCAACAATTCTCACAAGTTAATGATGCGTGATGGAAGTACCATTGTTTCAGTGGCAGTGCACAATTAAACAAAGTGCCTTGAGGTTGAAGTACATGATTTTATCCATGGGTAACACTGATTTGGTAGTGTTTGCTAAACACAAAGGTAGGGTTGTCATTTACACTACAAGAGTGCCACAGCATAGAAAGTGTTTTCTAATCTCCAAGGAACACAATTTCCATGCTTCACCTAATGCCCTTTTCCCCCTCATCAGTCCTGTATTGCCGAATTTCTTCAGGAAACTAAGGCTTAAGTATTCATGCTGTCTGCATGAATTTTCATCATTCTCCCCCACCTCCTCCCTTAAATGTAACTTTTTAAAACTAGTTGCACAATCATGACCAAACCTGAGAAAAGAATATAGGCCTTCATTATTAAATTTATGAAAACAGGTACTTGAAGACTAAAAATCTTGCCCATCACATTGAAGATAAACCACAGCACAAGCTCAACCTTTATTAGAGTCTGAAGAAGTCTACAATCAGACTGAAGACATAAATCTATATAGGGCTTTGTTATGCATACTATTTCAATTGTTTTAAAATTAAGAGTTATGCAAGATTTCTATAAGGCAAATCTTAAATACTAAAAATGAACGTTAAGAGCACAATTGTGGAACAAAAACATTAAAAATAGATATATATACACATGCTATTAATTGCATTATTTCTTTCAGTTCTTAATCACAATTAAGGAAGAGACAACAGAGAATCATTCTTAAAGTACAAAACATAATAGAAATGTGTGGGTGTTCAGACACTTAGTAGCAAACATTTACCATCCAACCCTTCTGCAGTTGTATTGAAGAGATTTTGTAGCAATTGGTTAAGTATATTACTAAGAGTATCCTCCTGGATATTGAAAAACTGAGGGTACTTATAACACCAGACACTGGGAAGGGAGAGACAAAAAGAATAACAGGGCAACACCTCTAAAGTAAGCTTTTCATGTGATGACATCATTATGCTGCAAGTTGGCCTATCTGGTTACACAAGGTGAACAGTGATCAGCCTTTCTTAACTGGATCCGCTGCTGTGATAAACAATTCACTGCCATTTGTGTGATATATGCAGGACTAAGGATGGAAGAAAATGGTGGGCAAGAGTTTTGAAAAGTTACTTCCATAGATGACCATCATCTATACCTGAAAACTATTTTTTAAAGCAGATCTTTAAATTCTGCACAAGAGGCACTAGTAGAAGCTAAATTATATCTTACGTGGTTACTTATTAGAAATTAAGACAAATT